GTAAGTCTTAATACCTACCTTTTATATTATTGAATTACATCAATTGATATGTTAAACTATTGATAGATGTTAGTGACTTAGGAAAATATTAATTACTTAGAAAATTATTAGGGACTTATTGAATGAATAGTGACTCTAGATATACTTCTGCGATATGGTTATTGTCTTAGGTTATAATTAGTGACTTAAGAGAATTTTAGTAATTTATTATACATGTATATGAAATTTTATTCATGCTTAATCAAATGGATTATGCATACATACTTTTATGTTGTATATTAATTTTTATCGTAGTTAGTCTAATTTATGTTACATTGGTTAGTGACTTAGGGCACACATGATGAATATATTATGCTCAGTGATGCACAGTAGAATTAGAAAAAGATTATTTGTAATTTAATTTTTTTCATGGTGTAGAAGACATATAAATTATTTGAAATTAAATTAATTATAGAAAATAATTAATTTGTAAATTTTTTATAGTACACGGACTATGGCTGATTCATCATCATCTGAGTCTCCTTCTTCTTCATCCGACCATGAGCCTAAGCCTACCGATCCTACCACACACGTGCTTCCAGGACCATACCAGTGGAAAGTTCTCTGCAGGCGGACACAACACGTTCATGTTTCACAGTCCCATGTGGAACGAGGACAAGGTGCGGGTGCTGAAGACCCGACGAGGCAAGATGCAGGGGGACCAGCTCCCGACGCTATTCCCAACATTGTCGCAGAGTACGTTACGCAGGATGGATTTATACATGTCGCATGCATGCGTCATATCCAGTATTGGTTTAAGAATGTAATATATTATATTGTGTTTAAATATAGTCTTTGTATAATATTCGTAAGTTTACATATGAATTGATAATTGTCTTGTGTATTTTAGATTGATCCCGCTCTGATCAGTGCTTTGGTCGAGAGGTGAAAATCAGAGATACACACCTTTTAAATGACGCAGGGCGAGATGACCATTACCCGTAGAGGTGGCAAAGTGGGCGGCCCGCCCTGCCCCGTCATCAACCCGCCAAAAAGTGACTCAGCCCGCCCCGCCCCGTTTGGCGGGTTGGGTGGGTTGGCACGCCAGCCCGAGCCTATTTTACACTAACCCGCCTCGGCTCGCCTATGTCCGCCATCAATCTGCCAAAAAATATCCCGCCCCGCCTCGTTTAGCTAGTGGGGCGGGTTGGCCCGCCGAGCCGAGCCCATTTTGCCGGCTTTAATTACCCTGCAGGATGTGACGACTATTTTGGGATTGCCTACTAATGAGCTAGCGGTTACCGGATATACATTAAAGGAATGGTCAGACGTCTGTGAGCAGGTTTTTGGTCATAGGCCTGATGAGGTGACTGAGGTCCCTGCTGGCATCTACGACTTACATACTTTGATTGAGTGTATGTGAATTGGGGTCCAGTTGTCGCGCATCCCCAGCGGGTGATTTGGAACACTAAGGCACATATTGCGCATATATTAGGTCTTGGCTCCTGTATGACAAATCGAGGGGCAGTACTATTGCTTGTCGCTACATGCCATTACTTGCAGGGGAGTTTTATGAGATTGGCGGATATAGATGGGAGAAAAAGTACTCCCAGGCTTCGAAGGTCTCACCCTCAATAATGGCAAATGCAAGTTGCAAACATTCATTATTTCAATCCTGAGCCGTGGCAATCAACAATTTCCCTTTATACTTTCCTTATAAATGAGTGCTATCAATTTGAATCATTGGTTTGCAATAATTGAATGCCTCACAACCAATGTTATTAAAACTAGCCCGATCATTGACCCGGTCGAGGTACTGGGTCACTGGTTCAATCAGTGGGTCACTGGTTCAACCGCATGACCCGGTAATTATGTGCAATTTTATAATTTATATCAAAAAATTATAAACATACTCAAATTTCTAAAAAAATGATAAAAATTTCAATAAAAAACAATAAATCATATATTATTATCCAATAAATGATCAAACAAAAATGTAATGATCGTGATATGGGGCTTTAGGTTCTGAAAATGACATTTCTAACTATAAATCAAAATTTTCTGCATAGTGCATAATTGAGATAATATTAGTGTTGTAGGTACATAACTATGTAAGTCAATAAGAAAAAAAAATTTAAATATGTCCATAATGATTTTTTTTTTGAAAAAAAAAATTTGGAATTTTTTTTCTTTTTTAGGACCGGGCCGGGTCACCGGTTCTCATGAAAACTAGCTGGGTCACACTGGTTCTGATGCATGGCCGGTCCGTTGCTTCAATCGGACCGGTTATATGACTGATTTACTGGTTTCGGGTCGACCCGACCGGGTCGGTTCGATTTTATGAACATTGCTCGCAACACTGTCTGAATGTCCGAAAAATACGATGAAATACACATTTTCTAGAAACTACTCAATGATGGACAACATAATCATTTGTTTGAATATGGTAAACAGAATCTGGTGAAAAGTGAAGTATATCCACCTGGGCAAAAATGCACAAGATTCCTCTCAATCACCATACGTCATCGCAATTGTTTTCTGCTTCGCATACCATACCTTTCTATATGAAACTTTGAAGCCATAAGAAAGGGTGATCCTCTCCTGAGCTAGTGCAATTGAGATTGATGGTTCCTTGCTTATCATCCCTAACAATCAAATTGTAACGTACACATTAAGACAAATAACCACACAGTTAATTTTTAATATTCAAAAAATTCTAAAATAACGTACCTAGTACGAGATAAGAAATAACATCATAATCAAGTTGTCTATGATCCTGAGAAATATGGTCATTGAAGCATACGTGATCTCCACCCCATTTAGTAACCTTCCAATTTTCACTATTTGTTGGTTTTATTACCCTAACCCTCTATGGGCAACCCTGTTCATGCGCGCAACATTTCATACTTAACTTTGTAGGCATGTTCTCGACCACAATTACTTCTTGATGCTCCTTCATGAGGTTTTGCTTGATTACCATCTGCACCTCTCTTTTTTATGCAAATTCTTGATTAACAAACAACTTTTCCCCAATTTTCCATGTACCCTAGACTGAACTCGAACCAGAAGCCGAGGTATAAGATTCTTGTTCGCTCAAATGATTTCAATCAATACATGTGTAATGTGGGATTCCACCCCTAAAAAGGAGTACCAGCCTCACTACCTGCATGTACGAATTAGTAATAATAACAAAAAGAAAAAATTACATAAACATAAACATATATGTATATATGAGTTGTTTAATAACATACCTTCATAATGTTGTGGTAATTGAGTCGTTCCCATGTCATGATGTTTCGCGACTTGAGACTCCCCCCGATCATGATATTCTTCGATTTGAGTCGCGAGCAAACCACGATCCTCATCATTGTTCGAAGCTCTAGCATCCTCGGCCAGAAGATGATCTTCCATTGAGATATTTTTATCATCGTCATCATCATAGTCATCATCCATAATCCAGGTTGGGTTATTTTCATCTTCCTCAGACATGTTAACAACTAGAGCAGCAGATGATGATGTATTACGTGGAGAATTGAAAGCAACTGACCTCATGGATAAAACAATATCCTCTGCTCCGACAATATCCACGTACAACTCTGAGAAATCTTTCTTTGATTGGTTGAGGAATTTTTCTATTACCATATCTACCTCTTCATCATCCACCGCCTGCAAACTAATGTATTGTTTAGATTGCCATAATTTTGACGTGACCATAGTGATAGATTGGTTACCTTAGAGAGCTAACTTTTGACGAATTCTCTGATGTAGTTCAACAATTGTAGAGTTGCGTTTGATATCTATTGGCCTTTTTTCGCCTTCAAAAATTACACAATGTCGGCCTTCAACTTTCCTACTATTATAATATAAAACAACACGAACATAATCAGAATGTGAACTCATTCTTAAATATATAAATAGAAAAAATAAGAGTATGAAAAGTGTGGAAATGAGATTTATAATAGAGAAGAGTTATGAAGAGTGTGGAGAGGATATAGATTTTAACAGAGATAATTGGGTCGATCACGCCTGGGTGGGACGAAAAAAAGGCTTGAGTTCGCCCCAATTGGGCGAGACAAATTTCGCCGAGCTTGTGCGAAATTCCCTTCCTTATTTCGCCTAATTTGGGTGAAAGGCGAAATTGAGTGCAATACATCCATAAATTGATTTAAAACGACTATGTATCCATTATTATTTATTAAAATAATTATATATAAATTTTTTTGCCTCCTTCTGGCCGAATCTATTATATGAGCTATTCTATCTGTTTTTCCATTCAGCTTTTCATTTAATCATATCGAAGGCCTGTGCTTTTACTAGAATTTTGCACTTATTAGCATCATAACATGATTATTGCATTTTATAATGTAATTAATTTGTGAAAAATGATAAGTATATGCATGCATGCATACATACATACCTCAGGACTGTAATAAATATAGTTTGGTTGCAACAAATGTGGCAGGTAGCCAGGTACAGTGCCAACCACATTCTTACACTTTTTAGCTTTTACATACCAGAGGGAATCAGAAAAATTAAATTTATAATCAGAAAGGTAAACAATTTTCTAGTTGAGGGCCTCCTATAGTGGAAAATTGGATTTTTTTTATCTCAAAAAACATGAGCTTGACATGTTTTTTGAAAAATAAAAAATAAAAACATAATATTCCTAAAATAGACATGAAAAAAAAAACACTCCAAAGCATGACTTTTTTTATTTTATTTTTTATATGAAATTGGATCAGTACAAGAAAAGAAAAGGAAATAAAGTAAGTAGTGGTTAGAATACATTTGAAATTGTCAATTTGCAAAAGATTTTTCAAAGGCAACTATGCAATTGGAGATTGTAAAGGTAAAATACAAAATGGCAATAACCTCAACAGTAGGAAAGTCCATGACCATAATCCAACTACGCAACCATATCGTCCCTACCACCTTAATAACACAGAAAGCTCAAAACTTAAACCTTATTCTTCTCACTAAACTAGTTACAGACAACTCATTTGGACCTTCAACTTCCATAACCTACCCTCTTTCCTCCCCCTTCGTTTTTCATAGTACCATTCCTCTTACTCCTTCAATAGTCTAAACAAGATAGCATGCTTACATCGTTTCTTCTATTGAATGGAAAATGAGGTTTGTCATACTCAAATCTATTGTACTATTTCTCCTTAAGTCATTGTACACTTTCCTCTTATGGGCATGCTGCTATTATGTAACATGTCTATGATTTCTGCATAAATACTATTTTTTTCCATGAAAATTTCCCTCCCATTTATGGTAATTTCACTCTAGTGGCATGATTTATTTTTTAGTCTTGGGTTGGCTTCAATTTTTAATTTTCATGGATCTTTTGAGAATTCTCATTTTTTGGAATAATTTAGTAAAACCCAATGTTTTAATGCAGTTTCCGAATTATGGGGTTATTCAGATATGGAACCTTGTTTTTCAATGTGCTGCTTCTGTTGTTTGAAACTTGTTTGGCCAGCGATCAACACATTCGCCAGATATATCCTGGCTTCAGTGCATCTCGACTAGATTGGAACGACCATGGTGGGTTTTTCTTGCTATCAAACAGCTCAGCTTTCGCTATGGGATTCTTTGGTACCTTGGATGTTACATTGTTTGTTTTAGTTGTCATTCACTTGAATAGCTACAAAGTGGTTTGGACTGCCAATAGAGGCTTACTTGTTAGAAATAATGATAAGTTTGTGTTTGATCATAGTGGGAATGCATATTTGGAAAGTGGGAACGGTGTAGTTTGGGCAACAAATACAACAGGACAAAAAGTTAGAGCCATGGAATTGTTGGACTCAGGGAACTTGGTGTTGCTTGGGGAAAATGGGACAATGATTTGGCAGAGTTTTAGTCATCCCACTGATACCCTTTTGCCAGGTCAAGCTTTTGTGGAAGGAATGAGACTCAGAAGCTTCCCCAATCACATGAACTTGTTTCATTATTTGGGTTATATAGCAGGTGATTTGGTTCTCTATGCAGGATTTGAACCTCCACAAAGGTACTGGTCCCTATCAGGGGAAGCCCAGGGAAGAAAGAATTTCACGGGTAAGGTTCACTCTGCTTCTCTGGTGTCCAATTCATGGAATTTTTATGGTGAAAGTGGAGCTTTGCTGTGGAAAACTGTCTTCTCTGACCATTCAGATAATAAGTCATTGTGGGTTGCTATTTTGGACCCCAATGGTGCAATCACTTTCTATGATCTTAGTAAGGGGAGGTCTGCTACACCTGAGGCTATTAAAATTCCACAAGACCCTTGTGGCATTCCTGAGCCTTGTGATCCTTACTATGTTTGCTTTTTTGAAAACTGGTGTGAATGTCCTTCACTTCTCAAATCTCGTTTTAATTGCAAACCTCCCAACATCTCAACCTGTTCTAGGAGTTCAACAGAACTTGTGTATGTTGGTGAAGAGCTTGATTATTTTGCTATCAAGTATGTTGCACCAGTTTCAAAATCAACCCTGAATGCTTGCAAAGAAGCTTGTTTAGGAAACTGCTCATGCCTTGTGCTTTTCTTTGAAAACAGTACTGGTAGATGCTTTCATTTTGATCAGACTGGGAGTTTCCAACGCTCTAAGGGAAGCACCGGAGGTTATGTTTCATTTATGAAAGTATCCATCAATGGTGATGGAAATGGCAACAAAAGTGGAAGAAATGACACGCTGCTAGTTGTTGTCATAGTAATTCTTACAGTTCTGGTTATAGTTGGCCTTGTAACTGGATTCTGGTACTATAACAAGAAGAAGAGTTCTGCTGAGTATACACAAGACATGTTGGAGGAAGATGATTTCTTGGACAGTCTTTCAAGTATGCCTGCTCGATTTACTTATAGTGCTCTTTCTAGAGCAACTAAGGACTTCTCCACAAAAATTGGTGAAGGAGGTTTTGGCTCAGTGTATCTAGGTGTGCTTGAAGATGGTAACCAGTTGGCTGTGAAAAAATTGGAAGGTGTTGGACAAGGGGCAAAAGAGTTTAAAGCAGAAGTGTCCACAATTGGAAGTATTCATCATGTTCATCTAGTCAAGCTGAAAGGGTTCTGTGCTGAGGGTCCTCATCGCCTTCTTGTCTATGAATACATGACAAGGGGTTCTTTGGACAAATGGATATTCAAGAACAGTGAAAATAATTTCCTGTTGAATTGGGATACAAGGTACAACATTGCAATAGGCACGGCAAAGGGATTGGCCTATCTTCATGAGGAGTGTGAAGTGAGGATTATCCATTGTGATATTAAACCGCAAAATGTTCTTCTTGATGAGAATTTCATGGCTAAAGTTTCAGATTTTGGATTGGCTAAGCTAATGAGCCGAGAGCAGAGCCATGTGTTTACAACTCTAAGGGGCACAAGAGGGTATCTAGCACCAGAATGGATTACTAACTATGCAATTTCAGAGAAGAGTGATGTATTCAGCTATGGCATGGTCTTGCTTGAGATTATTGGAGGAAGGAAGAACTATGATCAGTGGGAAGGTTCGGAGAAAGCACATTTTCCATCTTATGTGTTCAGAATGATGGATGAAGGAAAACTGAAAGAAGTACTTGACGAAAAGATAGATATTGATGAGAAGGATGAAAGAGTTGTCACTGCTCTTAGAGTAGCTCTTTGGTGTATACAAGATGACATGAATTTGAGGCCTTCAATGACTAAGGTAGCTCAAATGCTAGAAGGTCTTTGCCCTGTACCTGAGCCTCCCTCATTATCTCAATCGTGTACTTATTCAGCTTTCTTGAAAATGAGTAGTGGAGAAGCTACTTCATCTAGTATTTATACTAATGTACCCCAGTCCTGTGTCCAGTTATCAGGACCAAGATGAGATAACTAGGAAGTAGAAGTAGAAGTAGATGAATCATGCATGGCTAGTTTTGATGTTTTATTTCAATAATATAAACATCTCTAATTTGGCACTTTTGGTCATGTCTCTGGGTTTGGATTTAGAATATCCCCATGGAATTATATTAACGGAAATGTTAATATCAGTATAATACACATTTTTTTTGTTATTAAAATTTAAAACTTCACCCACATTTTAATATACGAATATTAAAATTTAAATTTTAGGGGTGTGTGCGTGTTTTCGTTTTTTAGGCAAGTTGATTAGCAAGCTATGGTGCAATATAATGACAGGGAAATATAAGAATCATGTTGCACGAATGGCACTGTTCATTCCTGCAACAAGGATACGGCGTCGTATCCTGACTTTGGTCTGACTTTTTTTTTTTAAGCGTGGGACCCACACTTGTGTGTGTAGGAAAGTGCTCTTGTCATGTCAAATGACAAAAAGGGAACCATAATGATAATATAAAAGCAAACATTGTATTTTAGGCAAGTTGTCACGCACTCAGATAAGTTTTACGGAATACAAGGTTGCATCTGGCCAAAAAACTAGACAAAATTCAATGCCCTATGTACTACGCCACATCAGTGACATCACAGCTTTAGCTCTCTCTCTACTATAAAAATTCATAGCTACAAGTTATTATACATTTTGACAGAGGGAGAAGGAGACATAAATTACACAAATTTCAGACCAACCGATGCCTTATAGGAGTGAGTAATCTCACCTATATATTAAGTGAGTAATAATCATCTAATTGCTAAGGAAAAAACAATTAAAGAACATGATAAAGCCATAACAGAAAATATACAACAGTGGAAGCCTCATTAGCATACAACACAAAGAAAACTGCTTTCTCTTATTTATGTCATAAGCTATTTAATTTACAGCTAGACAGTCATCTCTCTTCATATGTTTCATTTGTCTTGCAAGATACACAACTTCACTCAGAAACATGGTGGTGGTAAGATTGAGAGGCTGCAGGAAAATGAGTGCGGCCATTAGTTCCTTGAAAGAAATCCTGTGGATATGTATGGCTATGATCAGTTTTAGGTTGGCAATAGTCTTTTTCTTCATCTTCTTCAACGTCCCAGAGGAATTTTGCATAAGAAGCCAGGACATAGCTGACAAGTCACAATGATGATTAAAGGTTTATACATTAGTTTTATCAAGGACATAAACTTGTTTAATTTGGGAGGAAAAATATCAGAAAATAAAGCAAAACGTCTAAAGAATTTTCTTGGATCACAGATCATCGAATTATAACATAGTTAAGCTCCTCTACGAACTGTAAAAAATCTTGGGATACACCACCCCAAAAGCTAGCTCAAAGGGTGAGAGCGCCCAATTCCTTATAAACTCCACATATATCTCAACACAAACAAACATCATGAGTTTCAGATTTAACAAATCATAGAATGTCTAATTTGGGAAAAAATAAAAAAGAACCAACTTCATGTGTTGTCTATCTACACCAAGTCACCCAACACTCTGCTACTAAAGAAACAAATACCACATTAAAAAAAGGGAAAAATGTATGTCATTTTAAAGAATGTAAAGTTGTGTCATTTTAAAGGATGTAAATTTGTGTCATTTTAAGAGAGAGAAAAAAAAAGATAGATAAAAGAAGAGAGAGAGAGTTGACAAAAAAAATAAAGGTGTGGATCCCACTTCTTTGTGAGAGTGAAATGATATAAGTTGTGTCATTTAAAAAGATAAATATTTTTCCCTTAAAAAAAATGCATCTAGTCCTGTGAATAAGAGATTAATGTTTCTGAATTCATATCTTCTGTATACATATAAAAGTGTGAGTCCTATCTGGGGAGAAAACAAAAAACAAGGCCTTACACACTTTTATGAATAAGTAGAATCTACAATCCGAGAAACATTTATACCTATGAATAATTAGGAGAATGTATACGAAGAATTCATGTAGATTATATATCATACCAATCATCGGGGGCACTTTTAACAGCTTGATCAAAATAGCCTTCAGCTCGATCAGCATTCTTCTCTGTTTGCCATATTAAATCCGCATAGAGCGACAATATATTAGCATCGCCAGGGTTAGCCAAAATTGCTCTTTCAAGATACTTCTCTGCCTTTGGATAATCTCCACGAACCTATTTGCATATTAAATATCAGATAAACACCAATAGAAAGAAACAAAAAACATCAATGAGACAAGGATACTTTCAAATCACGATGGAGCATAGTTTTCGTTCCATTTCTAAGTATGGACCAATTACAAATCATTCTAGTTAGCCTGCACTTCTTTTTTTACTGCAATTTTGGCTTCGCTTTCAGCATTTATCCGTATAAAATAATTAACTTAGTCTCACCTAATACCTTAAGATTTTGGATTGAATTGATTTTTATAATGGTATCAGAACTTTAGTGACCACGAGATAACGAGTTCGATCCTCACCACTTCACTTTCAAGTGAAATTAAGAAAAGCACAAGGCAGATCAAAAAATGAGATTATGGAGCACAAGTCAAACCAATAATGGCTTGTGCAATATTTACGTTTTAAGCCCAAAAAACTCTTATGCTAGGATTATCATATCAAGAGAAAGAACATGATCAAGCTCAAGTACCTATTCAAACAAATCATAATTACCTCCTTCAAAAACTTGGCATAATTTCCAAGCAAAAGAGAATTATCGGGGTTTGCTTCAATCATGTTCTGGTAATAAGCATCAGTCCTATCTTTACCATGATTATTTTCTTCAAAGAAATCCCACCCACTTCCATGTCCACCATCTGAGCCTCTTCCACTACCATTATAACCACCACATATACGGCCATCATCACTCCCCATCCCACCACCCATCACCAAAGTCTGCAATCTTCTAACTTTCTTCCCCACACTACCCTCTTCATGATGATTATTCAGAACTTTCTTATCTAAACCAGAGCTTGAAAACAGTTCTCTAACTGAAGGTGTTGCTTTCTTGTAAATATTTTGTCGTGGGAATTCCACTTCATCACTTTCTTTTACCTTGATACTCTGTTGATTCTTGAGGACGTTACTACGTGGTAAACAATTTTTCTTCTCATGCTTTGATGATCGGTTTTGAAGTTGTGTCTCAGTCAAGTGTTGTCTTGGACTTGCAACTGTTGTATGAAGCTGGAGAATCGGGTCTGGTTCAGGGGAAGATTCTTTGGAATGGGACAGCAATGAACTTGGAATTGGTGAGGATGAGCTTCTTAGTAACATGTTTTTGCAGTTAAGAAGACAAGAACCACAAAGAGAATGGGAAAAACAAGGAAATGAAGGGATAAGAGAGCTAGCCAATGTAGAGAAAAAAATATGTGAGGATGTAAGATTATGATGCTAAGAAAGAAATGGTGCAAGTCGAAAACACAGGAAGAATGAGAGTGACTGAGAGTGAGTGAGAGAAGAAGAGAGAACCCACCTCTGCCGAGACAAAAGAACTGAAGAAGGGGTGACTAATTTTTATACAATATTAGTAAAATTTGAATGTGATCTTATATACGTTAAAAGAAATATAAAAATTATTGACGTATTCAACAGCTTAAGATTTGGGTTAAAATGGGTATTAGAATCGACGTGATTAAGTGGTTACAAGTTTGATAAGTTTAATACAGATAAGTTTTAGAATGGGTTAAATATTATAAAAAAATTGGTGCATCATTTACTCTTCAAATTCAATGCCCTCTCTCGTATGAAAGAGCTGACTTAGAGAAATATAAAACTAATGGCTTTTTGACGTAATAAATGCAATTTTTTGAAATATTCCACCAACGGGGGTTGGCTCAAGTAGTAAGGTACTTGGATTCGCTTAAGCAAAGATTCGAGTTCAAGACCTTGTGTATGTAGAAAATCTTCATTGAGAGACTCACCTGCCAATACTAGATAACCTACCCAGGTTGGACTGGACATAGTCGGGGCGAAGCCCCGAAAACCAGTGGAGCAATCCAAAAAAAATAAAATTATTCCACATGTTTAGTTTTTTGATCAAACATATTACTTGACTAATATAAGAAGACGCGTGCATCATGTGTCTATGTGTATAGTTGTGCATCTCACATATGCGCGTTTCATGTCAGTCCAGTCAAGACACGCCAGTACTAGTGTGCATCTCATGTTAGTCCAGTCAAAACACCTCAGAACCAAATGTGCTTCTTAGTATGGATGTGTCAGACCTAGATGCGCGTTTAAGTGCGTCCAATCTGATCATGTCATGATCAGGTGCCCGTTTAAAGTGTGTCATAATTAATTTCTGTTCTATGTCCACTTATGCGCGACTACTATACGCGTAGACACCTAATGCATGTCTTCTTGCATTAGTCTAATAATATATTTGATCAAAAAAATAAACCTGTAAAATAATTTGAAAAATACATTTGTTAGGTCGAAAAGCCAAAAATAATTAATGTAATTACAATATAGGATAAGGGCAGAAAATATTAGTATGAGATTACCTCTGATGCAGAAAAATCTACAATGGAGCGAATATACCTAATTGGGTACTTTTTTCCCCCAAAAAAAAAAAATTTCCTTCCAATTTAATTCCTATCTTTTAAGTCTTTCCCATTAAATCCACTCACATTTCCTCTTTTTGCACCGATGTTTGGTACATCTGTTCGTACCAAAAAATTGTTCTTTGACTGCAGATCGCATTAACATGAGGGAGTGGGGACCCATACAACAGTTCATGTGTTGTCTAAAGCTCCAAAAATTGAACGGCCAGGAATTGGTTTTGCATGTGACTGAAGTGGCATCCCCATTTGGCCGTAATCTCAGCCAATTGAGGTTAACCATGTGTCAACACCTGCTTGGGTGAACTAGGCGGAGGCTTGGCTTGTACACAGCGTTTGCTCATAATTATAAACATAGTGGTAGCACACCTTACATTATCAGAGAGTGAAAACTGACAAAATAGAAACCGTAGAGATGAGATTTTTTATGGCTTTTATTTCAAGTTTCAACTCACTTTGCTAGTGCGATTATGTATAAATCTTATCGTTGTCTTGTCATTAGGCGTGATTGGATAATTAATTCAAACAATCTAATCATACTCCAGCTAATAAAGTTTCAACCCCACTTTTTTCTTTACACTGTTTTTTGTATTGTTAATTTGTTATGATAGTAATCTATGCTTAACTTGTTACAAGTATTCACTATTCTGCATCGATCAATTTTGGGGTGCAAGTAATATTTTCCTCACAAGTTCATCTGCCTCACAAGTTCCAAAAGATAACAACTCTGAAACATCTGGCAAGAATTAGACAGTGACAGTAGCATGGCATGCCATCCCATTAAGAGATGAGACAATTTTATGAAAATCAGAACCAAATCATAAAAAAATAAAAATTTGAACAGTGATAACTTGAATTAGACGTCAACCCAGGAAGATAATTTGAAGCTCTTACTAACGATGAATATGAAAATTGGAAGTAACGAGTGTCCTGTCTACCATGACCCTATGACCCTTCCAGGTTGTTGTTGGAGTATTCAAGTGTGATGAGTTTCATGTTGATTGATAATGAATTAAGTGAAGAGTATATAAGTGGAAGGACCCATAAACTCAATGCCTTAAGATTTTGGGTTAAGATTGTTGGAAACTCAGTTCCCTTAAGTCGGCTAAGCAGTCTTTTGCGAAAGTCAGTCAACAAGATCCTGGATCTCGGATTTCGGCAATCTTACCTCGGCCTGAACTTCACCAGGTCAGGCAGCGCAGCGGAAAAACAAAGAACACACACAGGAGAGAGAGAGAGAAGAAGAAGAACACATACACTTTTTAACGTGGAAAAACCTTTTTTAATGAAGAAGTAAAAACCCACGAGACCTAGTCCAGATCAAACATCCATTATGAAAATAATGGATACAAAGAATCAAAGTTCACCAATGTGGTGGTTAACACAACCTCTCCAACAATGGTGATAATCAAACTACCCTAGAGATGTTTCACTCAAACTCTTTATAGAGATCTCTCAAATACAAAGCTTAAAGTTTTGCTCACAAATTTCTCAAATAATTTTCTCTCTAATCTAACGTAGCCTCCACCCACTACTATTGAATATATAGAGGAGGTGAGATCTAGGGTTTAGGGTTTTTAGGAAATCCCTCAATGGGCTTGGGATTAGCATTAAAGGAGGAAGCCCAACAAATCTCCCCCTCCGACTTCAATGCGTCGGCTTCAGCATCAACTCGGCTCCTTCACAACAGTCTTCAAATTTCCTTGCTGGAACCGGCTTTGCCATCATGTCGGACCAATTTTGGTCAGTGTGAACTTTGAAAAGTTCGAGCTCTCCACCTTCCACCATATCCCAGATCCAGTGATACCTCACATCAATGTGCTTAGTGCAGGAGTGATAGGTCGAATTCTTCTCAAGATGGATTGCGCTTTGATTGTCACAACCCAGCTCGTACTTGTCTTGATCATGGCCGAGTTCCATGAGGAACTTCTTCATCCATATCATCTCTTTGATTGCCTCAGTAGCGGCAATGTACTTAGCCTCGGTTGTCGATAGTGCAACACACTTCTGAAGTCTTGATTGCGAAGAGATAGCTCCTCCGAAAAATCTCATCATGTATCCCGTCGTCGACTTCATCGAGTCGAAATCTCCCCCTAAATCAGCATCTGAGTAGCCTTGTAACTCGGCTTTGTCTTTTCCAAATCGGAGACATAAGTTGGTCGTACCTCGGAGGTACTTGAAAATCCACTTCACTGCTTCCCAGTGCTATTTGTCGGGGTTCGATAGATACCGGCTTACCATTCCAACAACATATGCCAAGTCGGGTCTAGTGCAAACCATTGTTTACATCAAGCTTCCAATAGCGGATTGGTAGGGGATCTTCAGCATCTCGTCATTGTCTTCATCGGACTCGGACATTGCTTCTGGTTCAGCTTTATGTGTCCGGCTAGGGGAATGCTCACTGTTTTGGCTTTATCCATGCTGAATCTCTTCAGAATCTTCTTAATATACTTCTCTTGACTTAGCCACAGTAGCTTCTTTTGTCTATCTTGGATAAATCTTGATTCCGAGTATCTGCTTTGCAGGGCCGAGGTCCTTCATTGCGAAGGACGAGCTCAACGCTTTTTTCAGGGCGACTATCCTCGATTTATCTTTCCCTACAATAAGCATATCGTCAACATATAACAATAAGATCAAAAAATCTTTGGCCTCATACCTCTTCACAAATACGCAGTGGTCAGCATCTGTCTTCTCGAACTTATGATCAGTCATGAATGAATCAAACTTCTTTTACCACTGCCGAGGTGCTTGCTTCAAACCATAGAGGCTCTTCTACAACCGACATACCAAGTCTTCTTGGTTTGGAGCTCGGAACCCCTCAGGGTGCTCCATCGAAGCCACCATAGCTAATACGGTTCGGACCGAGGTCATTTTCACCGCAGGAGAAAAAATATCCTCAAAGTCTACTCCTTTATTCTGATTGCAGCCTTTCACTACAATCCGGGTTTTGTATCTTGGCTTCTGCTCGTTCTCTTCATTCTTAATTTTGTAGACCCATTTATTTTTCAGAGCTCGTCTTCCTTCAGGCAGCTTGGTCAACTCATAAGTCTGATTGTCGTGCAGAGACTTCATCTCGTCTTGCATTGCCTTTTTTCATTTTTCTTTCTCTGAGCTCGTCACAGTCTCATCGTAACTCTGAGGCTCACCGTCTTCAGCTACAACAATGTATTCATCATATGAGTATCTTGTAGAGAGTCTTCTTCCTCGAATTGGATATATCAGCTGTTCTTCAGCTTGAGAACCTGATTCATCATTATCATCCTGAATCTCATCTTCAACTCGGACCTCAGTATCTTGGTCTTCATCAGCTTGTTGCTAGTCATCATTTTCTTCATTCTCTTGCTTTTCTCCCCCTGCTTCAGCTCGGACAGGAGGGATGGGTTCTTCACTTCTGACAGTAACCCGGACTTTGGACTTCGAGATGTCATGAATGGTCTCATCTTCATGAAAGATCACATCTCAGCTTCTCACTATCTTCTTATTGATTGGATCCCAAAGTCAAAACTCAAACTCACATCTCGACGAAGCAAGATAAATGCATTATTTAGTCTTCGCATCGAGTTTTTTCCTTTCATCTTTAGGGATATGCACGAAAGCTCGGCATCCAAACACATTCAGTTGATTATAGGCCACTTTTCGACCTGACCAGACTTCTTCTGGAATTTCTCCTTCAAGTGGCTGTGGTGGTGAGAGGTTGATCAAGTCAACAGCAGTTCTGAAGGCTTCTCCCCAGAATGATTTCAGTAACCCGACATTGGATAGCATGCTTCGTACCTTCTCTTCAATAGTCCTGTTCATCCTCTCAGCTAGTCCATTCAACTGAGGTGTCTTGGGGGGCCGTCTTCTCAAGTCAGATCCCGGTTGCTCTCC